GGACACTTGGAAGGGGAAGGCCTTGAGATATGCTGGATTCAGATCTTGGCTTTGCGATTAGCTGTGTGGATTTGGTAAATGCTGCAACCTCCGCGCCCTCATCTGTAAAGTGGGAATGGTGGAACACCTACTCTATCAAGTTGTAAGGCGGCTTCGATAGGCTCGCATGCGCTATTTATTTTAATGTGCGGAGCACTATGCCTTGCACACAGCACGTGATCAGTGAATGTCAGTTCCCCCCAACCACCTGCCCCTCTCTTCCCTTTTAAGGAGAATTTTTAGGCTGAGGGGCGAGATGCCTGGCCGTGTGAAGACTAGAACGGGTAAAATATTTAGGTGACTGGGCAGTTCTGCTAAAGCGCTGGGTATCCCTATTACCTCAGCCACACCAGTTTTATTTTCAGAGACTATGAAAACAGTCTGGTCAATTTCTACTGCAATCTTAAAAACAGTTCTCCTTGACCGTAACTAACCATAGCAATTCTACCATGTGGAAAATATTCAACATTATCACACGGAAGATGTTTCCAATGAGTGAATGAATACAAAATGAATGAATCACTGAATACAAATGTAAAATTTTAAAGACTGGAGGAGGCCATTGGCACATGGTCACCCCACTGTTACCCTGGAATCCAGCCCTTAAACTAGATGCTCTCCGTAGCTTGTGCTGCTATGCCCTCCCCTTCCTAATGTCCATATCCCAAAACAGCACTGCTGATACCAGAAGCCAAGAGCAAAGGTGCCCCCACTGTGTACCAGCCATTCTGGAGCGGATCAAGCCATTAAGGAAAATTTTAACAATGCATAACCTTTCAGCTTTACTCTGCTAACAGCAGGTAGCTTGCCTTTCAGAGACATGAGTCTGCATTGAAGTCACCAGAAAGCAGGACTTGACCTTCACTTTCAGTATGCAGCATTAAAAATTCAGAATCCATGTAACTATAGCGTAAAAAGTAGCAGAGTTTAAATGGGAATCAAAAGGAATAAATATCTCCACACAGGTGAGTCATCCTTTCCCAGAATGCCCCTGGAAAATGCAAATACGAAGGGCCCTGAGCCTCTGGCTCTTCCAACTTTCTCTGGAAAATCCGGAAGCAGCCGGAACTGCTACATTATGCAATCCATGAATCCTACCCTAATACTGATATCACTTGAGCATCCCTCCTCCCCTTTTCCTATTAGGGAAGAATTATTGTTCCTATGTCAAAAGGAAGAAACAGACAGGGATAACCAGCCACGGTGACATTATCACCTATACAACGTCTAGGGGCACTTTTGACTTGGTTATACAGGTTTTGTTTTTAACTGCTTCACAGAGTATGAGTCTGTGGGAACAAAGGGCAGACATAGGCATCTAGAGACATCAGAATTAGGAGTCGGAGTGGATGTGCCTCAAATTGGGCACAATGCCTTTAAAAATACTGAAAAAGAAATGGTGTTCTTTTGGACAATATTTGCCTCATGTGGCTAATTGAAGGGGATTCCAGGGGGATGGAATTACTGTGTGGAGCAGGGTTTAATGCCTCTCTGTGTCTGTTAAGGAATTGACATTGATGTCTAGCCAAAGACTTGGTGAAACATCTCCCTTCGCTTGCGGCTTTGGAGAGTCTACCGCTGGGATGATAAAGCATAATTTTAACAGTTTAATGTAATTCTCCTTGGCTTTCAACTCCAGAAGCTTTGAGGACAATCCGTCTTAGCTAGATAGTAATCACTTGAGGCTGCACAAGTGATGCTTCTGTGGTGATCACTCTAGGAAAAATCAAGACCCAAAGAAGGGCTTCTCAAAGCCTTGAATGAAAAAGAACTGCTCAGAGATCATCTTGGCCTTACAATGGAAAAGAAAAGATGCCTGCGAGATGATATATTGGGTTGTTGGAAAAGTCATGACACATTTTTGCAACGAAAAACAGAAAAAATACGTCATGACTTTTCCGACAACCCAATATTTGGAAATAACATACCCACTGCCTCTTGATAGTAAAAGAGGTAGGGAAAGGTTAAAAAGATGACACGTCCATCAGTTATGACATTTATCTAAAGTGCCTTCCTCACCTGCTGCCACACAGAAGTAGAATAACCGCCCCAACTACCTGTCCACATGCACAACCAGAATCAGCCTGTCTTGACCCTGAACCAGCACAGCCTCACATTTTGAACTTGTGCTGCTGAGGTATGCCCGACCATTGGGGGAGGCCAGCTCTGGTTAACACTGACCAAGACGAACCATTTCATGGGCAATGTCAGCCCAGTTAGGTTCATACAAGGGAAAGCCTATAGATTGTCTTTTGAGTTTTTTATTTCTTTGGAGGGTATACATACTAACTAAAATTCATCTGAAGAATACTGGGTACTTTATTCCAGGGTGATGATTTCCTATCACTTCCAAGAGAAGTTTAAAGCTTTTTTTCCCCCAAGATGCCTATTTCTTTCCAAATGGCAAGCAAAACCACCACTGTGTAAAACTGATGGAAGTTTTGAATGAAAAAGATGGATTTTAAGAATTTACATCCTGTTTTCTTACCTGTTTTCCATTCGCATTTTATGTGTGGATAGAACTTCACTTTATCTTGTTCACTTTGCTTGATTATAGTTTGTCTAGTACGTTCTTTTTATCCCTGGGAATCTATGGACTTACCATAAAGGTCACTTTAATTCTTCCCCTTATTTAAACTGGGCATGCTTGCTGGCTGTCCCCAGAAGGATGGCAGACTCCATGGTACTGACTACACTCATCAGGTCACCCACACTTTAAGACATGGTTTCAGAACCAAAGAAGTAATGCAAATGAAAAGCAGAAAAGGCTGCATAAATAAACATAAGGTCTTCTTAGGTACAAGTCTCTCTATGCCAAACCACACAGTTTAGTAACAGAGAAGAAAGACTAAGTTTAGGAGACAGGGACAGTCCCCGGGGAGAGTGAGGACAGTCCTTGGTCTGAGAATATTGGCATGATGGCTGGGGAAAGCTGAGAACAGGATGGAAGGTTCATCCTTGGACTAGGCGCTTTGCAAGTCCCTAAAAGAACATGAATCAGAGAGGGCCCCCAATGCCGGCTTCCCCAAGGCTTAATGAAATCATAACTAATTCCAAAGGGCGCTGAGGAAGTGCAGAGCATCCCAGGAAGAGGCTCTTGCCTTGGGGAATTACATCTCTTTCCATTCTCTCACATGGAGCTGAGGACACCAGGATCTAAGAGCAAAAGACGGCCTCATAGTAAGACGCTGTAAAAAATGACATAATTCAAATTGACCTAATAAGAGCATTTTATTTTAACTGAGAAATACAGAGGAGCTAGAAGGGAAAGAAAGGGAAAGAAGTCGTCGGGGCATCCAGCCTTCTAACTGATCCACATTCACCTCCATGTGGGGTTTGTTCTGTCTGGGGTGCACAGACTACATGCTCGAACCCACTTCCTAGTTCTGTCATGGAAGTTGACAGGGTACGCACCCCAGGATATGTGAGAACACTCCTCACACCTAAGGAAACAATAGAAAAATAAGACTGGGGGCTTTGGAAGATCCTTGGTTCATTTCAAATATGAGCCAGAGTTATTAAGAAAAGATATTTAAAAGCGGCTTACCTTCAATGACATACCACTTGGAGATTTCCAAATTTAAAAAGCTCTTCTTTTCTTTCTTGGCCAGGAAGAGCTGATGGAGGAGCCTGCCGCATCTCATCTCCCGGAGGACTTTTAAAGGACCCTCCACCTGAGATGGGCGGGGGCAGCCAGGCTTGTGTGTGGGGATGGGCTAAAGGAACTGATATTCTCAGATGTGGCTGATTCCCAGGTGATAAAAGAATATGTTTTCTTTATCTTCCCTGAAATGACATTTTGTCCTTGGCACCCAAATGCACAATACCCTTTGGCTGGTGACCAGAGACTCTGAGAAATTCAGAGTTTAGGCATGCATGAAATTGTCACCATCCTGAGCCACAGAAAAAGAACGCTGCACTCAGAATTCAGATACAATGGAGTCTATGCCAATTGGGGCACCAAGCAGGTTTCCTGGGATCAAACTAATATCCAGCTATACCAAGGATAGAGTTCAAGGAGTTACAAACACTCTCACAGTGAACAATGCAGGCAAAGAGTTCAAGGCCACTGTCCAGTTGTCAAGTTCATGTCACCACAGATAGGTCTTTCAGACCAGCTCAGCTCCAGATGCTGTCAATTTCAAGATTGCAATAGAATGGTTGGAACAAATGATGCACCCAGGGGTAACACCTGCAGAAACCAGGGCAGAACTGGCCTCTACCTAACAGCTCTGCTCAGTGCCTTCTTCTGCCTCCTATAAAGCCTTTACCATCTGTCACACAGACCCCACCCCAGGCTTACCCTGAAACACCAGCTCACTCAGCTGGTAACCCAGGATCTGCATGAGTGCCCACTCTAGGAATTCTCAGATGGCCATGATCCTGGGAGTCATCATGAACTCATCCGTCCCATCTCCTTACCTTCACAAGTCAAGAAACACCAGTGGGTGACGCTTCAGCTGATTATTTGGCTGGCAGGTGCAAAGGATAGCATCACACTTTCTAACTGACCTCCAATAAGAGTAAAGCATTGGAAACCCTAATAACAAAAGGATCCTACCACCAAGGCAAAAATGGCTCATAGCCTCACGGGTTGGACTGTAACCCTCCCAGAGGTTGCAAATTCACGTCAAAAGTCTCTTAATCTCTTGACATCCTTAGTGCAAATACTTCATCAGGAAATAGATAATTCAAAACATGCAATGCCCAGCCACAAGGCTTGACCTCCGATACCCATCCTCCCTCTTCTAACCAGTAAACTCCAAGCAGCCTCCCTTGTAAGAGGTTGCTCTCCCCTTCAGAACATTAGCACAGACAGCCCTCCTTCTTCTAAAAGTCTTCCACACTTAGGAAGCTCTTGCAAAGGTTGGTGTAAATCAATTAATCAATATAAAGGCTCATGACGGTGTTAAAAAAAAAAAAAAGAAGAAGAGGGCCAGACAATGGATTTGCATACTCACTTTGACGAATCTATGAAGTATATTACAAGTGCACCAATGCTGAGAGCAAAGACCAAGACCACCTGCAAAAGAAAAGAAGAATGCCATCACTTACAAGAGGAACACTGCGTGGTTACTTTTTCATTTTATGATGCATGTCGCCACAGCTCAGAAACATGGCGCCAATTGCCTCCGGGGGCCCACCTGAAAATCTCATCCCCATGCTCCCCATGACTCCTTGCCTTGCAGTGGGCAGCAACCTCACTGCCCGCCAACAGTGGTCAGGACAGACCCTGGCAGCCTAAGGCATAGGGTTTTGATCTGGCCCTGCGGTCTCAGGGTCCAGCTTCTCTACAACTGAAGTCAACACACTTCAATGGGAAAAAAGCAGGTACAAATCTGTTATATGTAACTTAGGCAACAAGAGAACGCAAATACAGGAATATCATTTTTTAACATCTTTACTGACATATAATTTACAGTCCATAAAATTCACCATTTGAAACATACAATTCCATCAATAACTTTGAATAAATTTACCAAATTGTGCAACCATCGCTGGAATCTAGTTTCAGAACATTTTGATCCTCCCAGAAAGATCCCATTAACAGTTAATTCCTGTTCCTACCCCAACCCTAGACAACCATAAATTCACTTTCTGTTTCTATACAAGAACTAGCAATGGAAAAACATGAATTTGCTGCTTTTACAAATATGTGTGTGTGTGTGTGTGGCGGGGCGGGGGGGGCGGAGAGGGTGGATTATAACACTTCTCAAGCATTTTGGAAACCATTGAGGTGCAGACAGTCAAATTAGGCAACACATGAGGCCAGCGAGATGACAATCCTTGTTCTTCTTTGTACTCTTCACTCAAAATTAATCACCACTGATAGAAAAGACAGTTTGGCATCTCCTTCAGAGAATACCTGTCACACGAAAGCCCATCAAATGAATATGTACCAGGTTGGGCAGATACTGACACTTCTGGGCTCACTCAACACTCTAATTTGTTGATTTAATCTTTTATGCAGGAGAGTGGTGGTCTAACTAAAAGGATGTTCAAAAAAAAATATGCTACGAGTCAATAATTAAGCTTGAGAACAAAAGGTAAACACCATCACCACATTCAATGCCAGGTCTCCAGGAATACTTTTTCAACGTGCTAGTATCCAAAAGGGATGGCAAGTTGAAGGGGGTTAGAAATGTCGGTCTCCTCAGAGTATTAACATCCCTCTGACATTGGTTAGTAGATAGAAATGAATCCCAATTTCTGTCAACAGGAAAATTCAAGCCATGTGTGTGTGTGTGTGTGCATGTGTGAGATAGACAGAGAGAGACAGATAGAGAGATAGATAGATAGAGAGAGAGAGAGAGAGAGAGAGAGAGAGAGAGAGAGAAAGAAAGAGAGGGAGAGAGAGTCATGTACACATATCTGTATTGTGTGTGTGTACCAAAGTGGCTGATAAAAAATGAAATCTGTATATTCATTTAAAACACTGACAAACTCCATGGAGCTACTAGGGAGGGATGGTGACCTACACATTTAAAAACGGACAGTTCAAACAGCTGGACACTGTAAGAGGAATATGCAGTTTCACAGCACCTGACAAATTCTCCATAGGAAAGCAAATGTTAATACACCACTGGGGTCTATTCTTTCATTTTGTTTTAAAAACTAAAACATGGCCCAGTTGATCCCAGGAAACTCCTGCAGTCTGTCAATAATCACCATCCATCCAGGGCTAATCCCCGGCAGCTCTAATCTCCTCTCACACACATCCATTCATGCCTTGCAAAGTTGCACACAAAAATAAACAAAAACATAAACGGGCCTCTGCTTTTCCCTCTATCATCTGAATGAGGCAGCAAAACAAATAGCTTAAGATTAATTCCGATCTGTATTATTTCTGAGACATAAGCAGTTAGATCCTGGCCCTGACCTCATTCCCAAAATGCTGCACAGAGAAGGGGCGTGGCCATAAAAGAGGGGAAGGACCTCTTCTTCATTCATAAACAGCTGATCCAAGACTAATCTCTGATAATTTGGCTGTGTGCGTGCGCGCGCACGTGTGTGTGTGTGTGTGTGTGTGTGTTAGAGAGAGAGAGAGAGAGAGAGAGAGAGAAAGGGAGGGAAGGAGAGAATGCTGGGCTTCTGTCAGCTTATTCCATTAAAAGCTGAAGAGGAGAGGAAGGGAAGAGTGGGAGCGGAGAGGCTGGGAGAAAAGAGGAAGGGAGAAGAGGAAAGGGAAGAGAAGGGGAAGGGAGAGGAAAGGAGAGGAGGAGAAAAAGGAAAGGGGAAAGAAAACGAAGAAAGTCATTTCAAACGGCATCTACATCATTCTGAAAGGGGCTCACATCTGACCTCCCCTGCAATGGTGATGGTTTCCCAGCCTTGGCGTGGTCCAAGTAGCTGACACTAATTGGTCCCAGCTCTCTCCACTTGACCTCTGTGATGGGAAATAACGTGCAGCTCCTTTAAGCAAACAATCCATGACGGGAGGGAAGGAATCCTGCTCTCCTCTCAAATATCAGCATCTCTCTGATAAGGTGAGGGAAGAAATCCAGGAGGAAGATGACTTCCCCAGTTCCCGCGAACGGAAGATGCTGCAGAGGGGTCCTATGCTGGGGTCCTCCTGTTCAGCTGGAAGCCTTTCTCTCAAGCGCCAAACTGTCCTACCCACCACCTGCCTCCAGGCATGAAATGATTGATGGGGACCAGATCTGTTTCTCAGTAATGAAACACCTGTGTGTGTGATTTTTAAACGTGGTAAATGTCTCTGTATCATGTCAGGATTGCTTAAATTGTCAACTTGGATCCAGGTGCTGCAGAAAATAAACCAACCCTTTAGATTTCACTGTGAAAACACGAGACGCATCTACAGGCCCTAGCAAAGGACGTGTCCTCTCTCTGTCATCTCTCATCTCTGTCCCTTTGACAAGTCCCCTATTGTCTGAGAACCCTACTCTAAATATGAAAACATTCAGTTGGACTACACAAAATGATTATATTTTAGCCTAAATGATAATGGTTATGTTACAGAGCGGCCCCCAAATAATCATCTAGGTATTTATTTCACATCTGCTATGCATAATAATAAGGCCCTAGGAAAAACCAAAGAAACAAATCCACCTGGAGTCAAACTGTAGTCCTCTGGAGAGTAACCCTTACATAGGCGAGTCCTCTGCTAAACCATCCAATCAGTGCTCAAGTGTGCGGCATCGGTATGATCAACACATAAGCTATTGCCTGAGTGGCACATGCCTAAATGAAGATGGAGTTAGGAGGGGGAGGAACAACAGGGGCTCTTGTCTCAGTGTCATTGTCATTCTCAAGTGTCCCTTCTTCCTACACATGTCTCTTCTCATAGCCCTTCAGTCAGGCGGGAGGCCACTGGGCTTCTATAGGCCCAGGAATAAGGGGCATGGAAGCCCCAGGGACATGGTAAGGTGAGGTCAAGAAAAGCGTTAATACCTGAGACAGCTGAGTCACAGAACATCCCTTATAATGACCAGGTACTTTACAAAGCACGGTCGCAAACAAGAGCTTCTGAGCACGGTTTGACATAGGGACAATGTGAGCACGCCCTCTCAGGACACACCCTGTGCTGTCTTCACTAGAGCCAGTCCGGCCTTTCGAACGTTTCATAGTCTGGCTTTCCCAAATCACCTTGGCTACCTTGCTTGGTGCTAACCGCCATATATTTAGGTTTATTGAAAACACCCATATGCTGTGTGGTGCTATTCAGTACTAAGCGATACTTATAGAATGCCAGATTCTTAAAAACAAAAGCGATTTGATAAATGTCTTTGGAACAATGGTGCTTGTGAGGCATCTATTTTCAAAACTCCAAGATCAAACATGACATGTGTTTGCACAGAAGAATGCCAAGACCACAAACACACACACACACATGCACCCCCCCCCCACACACACACACATTGACTAAAAGAATGCCTGTCCCTAATACCTGACACCAGGAATCTGATGATAAATGGAGAGTAGAGAGAGAATATTCACAGCCATCTTCATGAAGGGAATTCCAACAGGCCCCGAAGATTTTCCAAATGTCTCAGAAAGTTCACACAGGAGGCAAACAGTAGGGCGAAGCCCTGAATACCCACCCTCAGGGCGGGGCACTGGAGCTCTTCAAGAAAACGACAGATCCAGTGATATGAATATGGGGACGACCGAATCAGGACAGTTGGCTCTTCAGAGATGTTGCCTGTTCTAGAACCTGGTTTCGTGTTGTCGGGTTTGGGCCCAAATGCTTTCAATCAACACGTGAGGCTACCGGGTCTTCTGTCAGGGATTTAAAGCAGCAGCTCACAAAGGTGTCTCCCACCAGATCTGATCACCTCAGGAGCATTTCTTAAAAAACAAGAGATGCCCCTATCCCACTCTGGGACCAACCAGAGAATCTCGAACTTGGGGAGAAGGTGAAGCTGGACAACTCTATTTTTAAGAAGCTGCTCCAGTGAATCTGATGTGAGGCCAAGAATGGGAGCCTCTGAATTAAAGACATTCAGGGGAAACCACTTAGCTCAAGTCAAAGATTAATTTACAAATGTCTCCTTAACAATTAGCCCATTAGGGCATATGCAGGAAGCCTGCAGGCTTTGAGAATCGTGCTAGGAGGACTCTAAAAAGTACAGGGAGGAAGATGAATTCATTCTCTCCCAAGCAGGTTTTACACATTCTGCTCAGCTCCCAGCAGAACAAATGACCTTCATTACTGATTCTGCATGTTTGATCAGGGCCCAGCCAGCTCCTGGTAACAGCAACCCCTCCGAAAATGGACAACTTTCCATACATAATCTTTTTCCATACATGATCCTGAAGGCACATGACTGTTTTTATTGAAGTGTAATTTGTATATGATAAAATTTACTATATTTAAAAAAATAGACATGATTACTCCCAAGGCAAAACAATCTTGGGACATTTTGTTTATGAGAGATGATATCATTCCAACATCCAAATTATAACGGTTGGTCTGGTGAACTTAACTCCAAGAGATATTTATTGAACTCCTATGCACATGGCCTAGAGGGAGAGAGAGGGAAATAGAAAACTAAAACAGCT